AAGAAAGAAAGAAAGAAAGAAAGAAAGAAAGAAAGAAAGAAAGAAAGGGGGAGGGAGGGAGGGAGGAAGGGAGGAAGGAAGGAAGGAAGGAAAGAAAGAAAGAAAGAAAGAAAGAAATCATAAGCGAGAAGAAGATGGAGGGAACAGGCAGTTTGCAACTCCTGAAACAGGGAACATTTCTATTTACTTCAGAAGGACAGACACTTATCTGGCCTTTCAATAAAGATTTTAGGGCAGACCAAACCTGTACAATTTACAAAACCTTAACCACTTAAAGGCCACAACTCTGAATGACAAGGCATTAGTGCTGTCGCTAATTTTAACAAATAAAACCGGAATAGGAGAGGCACAAGTAAGGTCACAGCTGGAAGTCAAGTTGCCCCAGTCCTGGAACCCTGCTAAAGGTCACTAAAATAAGAGACACCTACCTATACGCTACCAACAAAGGCACCCAAAGCAAGCGGCTTACTCTACCGTGTTCCAGCTAACTTTTCCTCCTTTTCCAGTATCTGTTCGGTACCATACTCATCTTAGGGCTAACCTGAGTGGTAGAGAAACTAGATCCCAAGTCCGTCCACTTCACATTGTTTTGGTCAATCAAAACCCCGGAACAGGATAAACAACTGAGAGTTAGTACGTTTCGCAGCGGACAGACACTGAGAAGCTACAATCTGAAAATCTCCAGGCTCCACTCTACAGTTCTCTCCATCCCAGAATCTGCGATCTGCCAGCCTGTCTCTGCCCGCTCCAGGTGCCCCCGGCACACAATCAGAACGACCGCTGAGTTACGATCTGCAAAATGCCTCGCGACTTCGCAGGGGAAAAAAAAAAAAAAGGAAACACACACAACTCAAGTTAGGCAACCTCAGAAAAGGCAGGGGAGGCAGCCCTGGAGGGAGGGGACGACGTGGTGCCCCCAACTCCACACACGCTGCTAATGGAAACTTGGGGACCGAGAGGCGGCACAATCGGCTCGCCCACCGGGGACCTTCCCGCTTTCCACCCCAAAAGTTTGCCCTACGGATCTCCGGCCTAAAAGACAATGCTGGCTGGGAAGCGAACCCCTGCCAAGGTGCCCGGCTCGGAGACCGGCTCGGCGGCGGCGGCGGCGCGGCGTCCCCTAGGAAGCCACGTCGCGCCTCGGGCTGTGGAGTCCCCCGGGCGACTCGCCGCTCCGCCCGCCGCCGCCGCCGCCGCGGCCCCTACCTCAGCGCCCTGCAGCCCGCGCCGCCTCCCGGCCTCCGCCTCAGTCACACGCACGCACACCCGCCCACCGCGGGCCCGCTTCCCGCCCCTCGTCAGCGCCCCCCACCGCCGCCGCACGCACGCCCAGCGCCGACCTGCCGAAGGGGGGTCCAACCACTGGCCGAGGAGCCTGAGGCGGCGACTCGGGCCCGGCTCCGCCCTCCACTTCCTGGTCGGGCGGCTGGGACGCTCGCTCCCGGCAACCACCGCGACGCTGCTCCGAAAACGCGCGTGCGTCAGCACGTGCCCCGGCCCCCGCCCCGCCTCCCCCCCCCCCCCCCCCCCCCGGCTCGATATAAGAAGGAGGAGGCTAGGACGTGCTAAGTCTCCGTGACGACCCGTGTGTGCCGCGAGGCTGGGGACAACGCTTCTCTGAAGAAGGAAGAACGCGGAGACACCTTCCTGGGCAGAAAGCCGGAGCCTAGGACCAGATCCTCCAGCGGGCTCTGGAGTCTAACCCAAGCTGTCCACCTTATCAATATTTTCTCTATGAAATTTTTTTTTTGGGGGGGGGAGAGGATTGTTTTGTTTTAGATAAAGTCTTGCCTGGAACTTGAATGATAGACTATTTTGACCTCACAAAGCTGCGGAGATCTTTCTGCCTCAGCCTCCCGAGCGCTGAGATTACAGACGTGTGTTCCATGCCAGGGTTGTTTTTGTTTTTAATTAAAAAAAATTTTTTTATATTACAGTTTATTCACTTTGTATCCCAGCTGTAGCCCGCTCCCTCATTCCCTCCCACCATGCCAGACTTTTTGGCTTTACCTCAAATACCACTTCCTAGCACCTTCTTTAACAGGGAGAGAGGGAGGGAAACAGCCTAGCAAAGGGCGAACTCAAACATAGAGCTGGGCTTCATTTCAAACTCAAGACACAGCTCAGCTTCTGCCCTACGAACACGAGCTCTTTCCATACCTGTGGCTTGTCTTAGACAAGATGTCTGGATTCAGAGACGACATAAGTGGGGAAGTTAACGACAACAAAAAAAATCATTGGCCCATCCTGTATCTTACCACTATCCTTGTTTGTACAGGTTTGGCCAGTGCTCAAATATTTTGTAGCTGTGGTTTAATAGTTACCCTGGATCTCAGTTCTATCCCCCCCCCCCCCCCAATAGGACACTAATGATGCAGGAACAAGCTTTTTATAGCTATGTCTTTGTCGGGTCCAAAAGAAACTCCAATTCCCCAAACTCCAAAAGGCAGTTCAAAGACTATAGGAGGATTTCTGGTGACTAGGCAAAAGCCAAGTGTTTTTCAGGAGTCTGAAAAAGAAGTGTTTTTCAGGAGTCTGTAAAACTCTAGTTCCTGTCTAGCAAAAGGACTCATTTCCCTTACCTCCAGCAAAAGTGACATATGGCTTTCCAATTAGTATATCAGCATATCCAGCTACCTCAATCCCTACTCTCATAAGCACACATATTTCAAAGCCTCCTCACCACTCGGCCCTCCCCACCCACCAGTTATTCACCCTTCTTATAACCAAGTTGTTTTCACCGATCTTGCTAGTCTCACTAAGCCCTCTCTATTCTCCTGTTTCTCATAGATAGCCCTGGCAATGTCCAGTCTGCTGGCCAGAAGCCTCTGACTGTTCTTTCTTTCATATCTACAATAAAAACCCCATTCCTATCATGGGGTGGTAATGTTGGCAGTTTTTTTACTGCACCCCACTTGGATACATCTGGTGTCAAATTCAAATACAGTCTGAATTAGAGTTACTGTTGCTGTGATGAAACCCCATGGCCAAAGTAACTTGGGGAGAAATGGGTTTATTTGGCTTAAACTTCCAGATAACAGTCCATCACTGAGAGAAGTCAGGGCAGGAACCTGGAGACAGGAACTGAAGCAGAGGCCATGAAGGGGTGCTGCTTACTGGCTTGCTTCTTATGGGCTTTCTTTTAAGAAGTCACAACCACCAGCTGAGGTGTGGCCCCACCCACAATGGGTGCTCCTCCCCAGTCATTAAGAAAATACCTTACGGGCTTGCCTACAGTTTCATATTATGGAAGCATTTTCTTAATTGAGGTTCCCTCCTCTCAGTTGACTTTAGCTTGTGCCAAGTTGACATAAAACTATCCAGCACAAACTGCTAAGGGGATAGGTCTGTGGTGAAAATCTCAGGTTGCCCACATATGTCACAGAGAATGTGCTTTCAGGCTACAAAGAATACCAGAGTTAGAAACAGCAGAGATAAGAAACAAGCTTGCAGCTGGGTCTGAGGTCGCCAGGCAGACCTGATAAGAGATAGAGGCCCTGAGAGGCAAGGCTAGTTATCATCAGGCTGGCTAGCTTCCACGAAACCACTCCTGGGGATTGCATGCCAAGTCCCGTTGTTCTTTTACAATTCCTGCTTCTGATGAAGCTATTTGTAATTGACCAAACTGTACACGAAGGTGACTTCTAAAAAGGCTTCAACCTAATGTGGAAAGAGAGAGCAGGTGATCCCGTGACACTATACACAAGGAATTAGCTGAACAGCTGCAGCCAGATCTTAGTAGCTTCGAGAACAAAGAAGCTTTGCATAATTGGCAGCACTGGAAACACTTGTAAGGAGCTGGGAACACAGTGTCAACAGAGTGATTAACAGCTAGGGAACCATCAAATTTAATAACTAACAAAGCTGGAGCCTGGAGATGGGGCTTCCCCGGCCCCTTACTGAGCCAGACTTGTAATAACAGCACTTAATCATCTCCCTGGTTGGGCCAGAAAGCCATGCCTAGAGCGCATGAGCCCTCCAGTGGGGGAGCCTACCACAGCCCAGAGAACTCAGAGTCACATCAGCCTTCTTCCAGTGTCTGCCATGACCCTATTAACAACCCTTTGACAAGAAAAGTAAAAGGCTTCCCCCCCCCTCTCTCCTAGAAGCCCCTCCCACTAGCTGGAGTTTCTTGTTTTTCCTCATTAGTTCTTCATAAAACTTGCTTCTGGTTTTCATATTCCCATGAGTGTCTATGTCTCTGTCTTCCTGGGGGTGAGAACACTAATTCAGGGACCACAGACTCAGGTCTATTGTTTTTTGTGATCCTCAGTGTCTTGCTCCCTTGGTCTTTGGGTCGAGTACAGCTGTTCTAGGAAGAGTCTCATTACATTTAAAAAATAAATAAATCTCATTGGGGCACAGTGCAGCACACCTGCAATCCCTGCACTCTGGGAGGCAGAGGCAGGAGGATTGCTGTGAGCTCTAGGGCAGCCTGGTCTACAAAGCAAGTCCAAGACAGCCAGTGCTACACAGGAAAACAACAAACAAACAAACAAAACCCTCTGCATTACTAGTATTGCCACAGTGAGTTACTCAAGTTAGACAAATGGTTAAGATTAAATAAGATAATGCCTGAAATTGTATTCAAAATGTGGAAGTAATATCAAAAATTATTGTTTGACCTTTTAGTTTTATTCTAGAAGGTTTGAGAGAGGACACATGATGCTCTGCTGTGACTCCTCACATTCGAGGAGCATGACTTTGGCCAGCTGAGAACATCCGAGAGCAAACTTTCAGGAGGGCAAATATAGAGGCCTACACAGAGTAAGACACCACTTTTTGGATCAACATCGCTGCGCTGGTATCCGTTCTTCGACACTTGACTTCGCAGAGAGAAACTTTCCAGGGAGCTTCTCGGGGCAATCCAACTGGGTCTTGCGGCTTTCACTGACTTCCTGTTGCCGCTTCGTGCTGGCCTTTGGATTGGACTGCTGCGATCCTCCCAGCTTGCCGCCAGTGAGGAATCTCACAGCCGATTCGGGAAGAGTTTGTTCATGAAGCGCTCAGTGTATAGGCCTGTCTGTTCCCCATTTTGTGAGAGGTCGGTTTTCATGAGGTCACTGTTGTCTTTGTAATAGCATGGTATTGTAAGGAATGTTTGTACCCATAGCTGAGCATAATCAAAAGGCAAATCTCATGTGGACATCCTAATTGCTCACAGTTCTGCGTCTTGCATAAGCCAATTTGATAAATCTCTTCTTAGGTGTTGGAGAGATGGGTCGGTGGTTAAGAGCATTGGCAGCTCTTCCAGAGCACCTCTGTTAGATTCTGAGCACCCACATGGCAATTTACAACCATTTATAACCCCGCTCTCCATGGGCCAACATGTGCTGTACAAAACACCCATTAGGCAAAACACCCATACACATGAAAAATAAAAATAAACAAACATTTTTTAAAAATCAAAAGAATATATACTAATTCTTTTGGTTCTGTTAGTCTACAGAATCCAGTCTAACACACTGCCTTAGCGATATATACATATCAAATTGCATTCTGAGAAATTGATAATTGATATGACTTCAATACTAGAATGATGAACTCTTCTTTTTTTTCCTTCTTTTTATTTTTTATTATTATTATTTTAATGGTTTACTTACAAATTTATTTTATGTGCATTAGTATTTTGCCTGCATGTATGTATGTAGGTGTCAGATCCTCTGGAACTGGAATTAAAGACAGCTGTGAGGTACCACAGGGGGACTGGGAATTGAACCCAGGTCCCGATGGTGCTCTTGACCTCCGAGCCATCTCTCCAGCCTGCCCTCCCCCACCCCCACACTTTTTTATGCTTTTTCAAGACAGCTGTTCTCTGTGTAGCCCTGGCTGTCCTAGAACTCCCTCTGTAGACCAGGCTAGCCTTGAATTTAAGGAGCTCTGCCTCCCTTTACCTCCTAAAACCTCCAGATTAAAGGTGTGTGAGTTTTTCTTAAAGTCCTTTATATCCTGATCTTTTATTCTCATTTCCAGTAGTCTCCCACTAGATGGTGCTAGGTCACTAAAAGGATAGTTTTTCAAATGTTAGAAACCCCAATTAAGCATACCGTCAAACTGCCATCGATATAAGAAAGGGGAATTTAGCTCAGTAGTGGCACATGCCTTTAATCCCAGCACTGGGGAGCCAAAGGCAGGTGGATCTCTGTGAGTTTGAGATCAGCCTGGTCTACAGAGCAAGTTCCAGGCCGGCCAAGGCTACACAGAGAGACCCTGTCTCAGACAGACAGACAGACAGACAGACAGACAGACAAAGTGAATAGCTTATTCCGGTATGGTGGTGCATACCTTTAATCCCAGC